TTTTTTTTTTTTTTTAATTGTACTTTAAGCTCTGGGGTACATGTGCGCATCCTGCAGGATTATTGCATAGGTACACATATGCCGTGGTGGTTTGCTGTCTCTGTCCCCTGTCACCTACATCAGGTGTTTCTCCTGGTGTTATCCCTCCCCACTGCCCCCCCACTGTGCCGCCTCTTCCCTGGCCCCCACCTCCTAATCTACCCGTGTGAGATGTTCCCCTCCCTGTGCCCACGTGTTCACTGTTCATCACCCGCCTATGAATGAAAACGTGCAGTGTTTGGTTTTCTGTTCTTGTGTCAGTTTGCTGAGAATAATGGTTTCCAGATTCGTCCATGTCCCTACAAAGGACACGAACTCATTGCTTTTTATGGCTGCATAGTATTCCATGGTGTATATGGACCACGATTTCTTTGTCCAATCTATCATTGATGAGCATTTGGGTTGGCTCCAGGTCTTTGCTATTGCAAACAGTGCCACAACAAACATACGTGTGCATGTGTCTTTCTAATAGAATGATTTATAATCCTTTGTGTATATACCTGTAATGGGATTGCTGGGTCAAATGGAATTTCTATTTATAGATCCTTGAGGAATCGCCACGCTGTTATTTTCTTACTACCTTTCTAACAAACAGGATCCAGAATGTGGGAAGAATAAACAATGAAGGAGGCTATGCTTTGTGATGTTCAAACATGTTTTTCTTTCATGTTACTTTGTGGGAAAAATAGAGATTTGACCTCTATTTTTAACCATGGAGAAGGGAGGTTCTTGGGCAAAGACCTTGGCATCATGCTCAAATTGCCAGACACTTTCAGCCTGGCAATGTGTACCGTGTAGAGGTGTATAAAGGGCGTGGGTCACTTTGTGACGCTGCTGAGCAGCTGAGGAAGAGTACGTTGCCTGAGTACTGCATGCACTCACTGGGGTTCTCCCTCTCTCGCTCTTTCTCTCTTGTTCTCCTACAACTCTTTCCTTCGCGTACGTTATTAGTAAATGACAGCATCTTTATTTAAAAGTTTGGGTCTCTGTTCACATTTTGAGAGAATTTTAAGTCGTATTAGTCTGTTCTCAGGTGGCTAATAAAGACAAACCCAAAACTGGGTAATTCTAAGAGGGAGTTTTAATTGACTCATAGTTCCATGGATCTGGGGAGGCCTCAGGAAACTTACAATCATGGTGGAAGGGGAAGCAAACACATCCTTCTTCACATGGTGGCAGCTAGCAGAAGTGTGGAGTGAGGTGGGTAAGAGCCCCTTATAAAACGATCAGATCTCATGAGAATTCACTATCATGAGAACTCCAGGAGGTAACCGGCCACATGATTCAGTTACCTCCTACTGGGTCCCTCCCACAGGAGGTCAGATTTTTATTAGAAGTGATTGTTCATACCCTCTGACCACTTTTTGATGGGGTTGTTTTCCTCTTGTAAATTTAAGTTTCTTGCAGATTCTGGATATTAGACATTTGTCAGATAGGTAGATTGCAAAAATTTTCTCCCATTCTGTAGGTTGCCTGTTCACACTGACAGGTTTTTTGTGGTGGTGTTGTTGTTACGTGAAGCCCTTTAGTTTAATTAGATCCCATTTGTCAATTTCGGCTTTTGTTTCAATTACTTTTGGTGTTTTCATCATAAAGTCTTTGCCCGTGCCTTTGTCCTGAATGGTATTGCCTAACTTTTCTTCTAGGGTTTTTATGGTTTGGGGTTTTACATTTAAGTCTTTAATCCATCTTCAGTTAATTTTTGTATAAGGTATAAGGAAAGGGTCCAGTTTCAGTTTTCTGCATATAGCTAGCCAGTTACCCAGTGGGCAAAGGATATGAACAGACACTTCTCAAAAGAAGACATTTATGCAGCCAACAAACATGTGAAAAAAAGCTCATCATCACTGGTCATTAGAGAAATGCAAATCAAAACCATACTGAGATACCGTCTCACACCAGTTATAATGGCGACCATTAAAAAATCATGAGACAACAGATGCTGAAGAGGATGTGGAGAAATAGAAACACTTTTACACTGTTGGTGAGAGTGTAAATTAGTTTAACCATTGTGGGAGACAGTGTGGCGATTCCTCAAGGATCTAACCCTTCTTATGGTGTCTTCTGGCATTCTCTGACCAGCCAGGAGAGGTCCCCTGATTTCAAGGACCTTTGTAATAACACTGAGCACACACAGATAATCCCGGATCATCTCCCCATCTCCAGGTCCTTAACTCAAATGTTGCACCGGAACGAGCAGAAAATCAACACCAAGACAAAAGTACACCAAATTACAGGGTCTTTATTGCTGGCGGCCACGGAGGACTCATGTCTCTCCAACCCGTGGCCCTGAGCTCAGGGGGAGCAAGGCATTTAAGCTGCAAAACCACATCCTTGTTTGGGGGGCCCAGGGGTATGCAAGGCAAGCTGTGTGTACAGAAGCTAAAGTTAGTGGTTGGTTGCAAGGGGAGGGGGATAGCAGTGGGAATTTTTACCCCTAACACTTCTGAGAATTGCAGTACAATAACAGTTCTGAGAACAACACCTCTGCCCAGGGCCCAGGTGGGTTCTCTATAAGATGGCAGTGCTCAGGCTTCTGTTTTAGCCCCTATTTCATTCCCCCCTGTTGTTTTGCACATGAATCAAATCATTGATTCCTGATTAAGACTGTTTGGTCAGTGTGGCTCAAAGGCCCATACTGGGATCTTAGGACCATTAACTTTACAGAATTTATTCTTGTCTGGATTATTTTGAGTAGCTGATTTAAAAGGCAAGGGCCAGACATTAGTTCCAATATGAGTAGGGTTAGGGGTCCTGCCAATCCTGTGAGTAGGGAGGTGAGCCAGGGAGACCAGAAGAATATTTTTTGATACCAACTTTCAGAAGCTTTTCAGAGGTGTTTTCTGTTTTCTAGATTTTGTCTAACTAGGGCAAGGCTGTCTCAGATAAGTCCAGATTTGTTAGTGTAAAAACAGCATTGTTCATTGAGAGCTGCACAGAGCCCCCCCCCCCTTGTTTTAGGAACAATAAGTTTAGCCCCCATCTATTTTGGAGTACCATCTCAGCTAGGGAGTCTGCCTGATTCCCATATTCCACCCGTCCGTATATACCCTGAGCCCCCAAGTTCGCCCTGTTGTTTATATACTATCTGGGGTAGTTACAGTTATTTTGACTGCGTTACAGGACCCGGCAGAGCACTGGGATGGGGGAGACATCCACTGAAAGGAGATGAATGAGTCTTTGTCTTTGATATATTTTGATATGGTGAGTCTTTGTCTTTGATATATTTTGATATGGTAGAGATAGTTTCACATCCCCAGTGGGGGCAAAGGAACTCATTGAAATCTCCACAGTTCCATTTTTTTTGGGTGGACCCGGGCATAAGTCTAATCCCATGGTCTGAAGATTTTGTTCTGTTTGTGTGCTGCCATATCCTGTTTCCTTTACCCCTACTCTGCTTCCCCCTCTTCCCTTAGTCATGGTATTTTCACTGGCCCCGATATTTAGGCTTTTGTCCAGGAGGGTACAGAGGTCTAAAGTGAAGACAACTGGGTTTTGTTGGTGTGTACTCAGGGTTAAGTTGACAAGAGTGGATCCCTGTCGTATTAGGGAACTAACATACTCTTCCATGGAGCCCACGGTAAGGATCCATTGATAGTAGCTGGGCTCCAAGGGCGGGGGTCTGCCATGGGGGCTTACAGTAAGGGCTAAGAAGGCGGTGATCATGAAGAATGCAGAAGTCTCAGTTTTAGCGGGTCCAGGGATGAGTGATTGACGCTCCATTGCTTTTTCAGTGGGGCAGTCTCGACGTGGGTGTGGTGAATCCAGGCAGTCAATCCGTCCACCTTGAGTGCAGTGGGGTGGTCAGGATGACTGTGTAGGGTCCCTTCCAATGGGGGGTGACACCAGAGGTGGTGAATTTTTTTAACAAGGACCAAGTCTCCAGGCTGGAAGGGGTGCATCCGCTGGGCAGTGAGGTTCACTGGGGTGGGACCAGTGTCTCTGATGAGCTGTTGTACCTGGGATTGAACAGACTGGAATGCCCGTAAGGACTTAAGGAGTGCACGGTTATGGATTTCAGTTTGCATGGTATCTGCGGGTTTTGGGAGCAAGGGAGGAGGTCTGTCACACATAATTTTAAAGGGAGAGAAGCCTTTTTGGTAGGGTGTGTATTGGACGCAGAGGGGGACAAAAGGAAGCAGGCTGACCCAGTTTTCACCAGTCTCTAGGATGAACTTTGTTAGAGTTTTTTAAATGGTCTGGTTTATTCTTTTAACTTGTCCTGAATTCTGGGGTGATAGGCACAGTGTAGGATATGCCCAGGGCCTCGGCCAGGCCCTGAGAAACTTAGGATGTGAAAGCGGGGCCATTATCTGATTCCAGAGTCAGGGGCAGGCTGGACCGAGGGAACAGGTCCTGTAATAGTTTTTCATAACCACTAAAGCGGCCTCAGACCTAGTGGGGGAGGCCTCGACCCTTCCGGAGTACGTGTCCACATATACAAGAAGGCATTTGTGGCCACCCACCGGGGGCTTTACCTTAGTGAAGTTTACCTCCCAGTGTTCTCCAGGGCTAGCACCCCCAAGTCGTATTCCTGCCTGATCAAAGCATTTACCCTGGCACATGCATTACACCGAGTTGTGGTTTCCCTGACAAATTCGTGCAGATGTGGAATGCGGTATCCAGCCCTCAGCAGCTTAGTCCTGTCTGTCCTCAGCATGTGACCTGGTGTGTGTTCTAACTAGGGCCCATCCTAAGGTCTCGGTGACCACAGTCCTTGTGTCTGGCAGAATCCACCCTTCTGGAGGGGACAGAATTGGGGCTGGCAGAGCTATAAGCAAGGAGTCCACCCTGTTATGTCACCTATGCAGGGAGGTGGGCTGTGCACAGTCGGGGGCTGGAGATTTCAAAGGATTTCTGATTGAAGAATATTGTAAGCTTAATGCACTGGGAGCTGACAGACGTGTGCTTTTCTTTTTAGATATTTATGGGAGGATGATTTGAGCTAGCACAGAAGCAAGAAAAGACAGGGTGTGCAGCCCCTGTGACTGGTTACACCAGAGGGGTTTTTCTCCCTCAGTTACTTACAGGATTTTAGGCCTGAGGCCTACTTTCCACAGGAGCTCGATGCAAAGTACTACAACTCCTTTATCAGGAGGAGAGGCACTCGCTCCTAGCCTGCCATACAGCTATGCCCTTTCAGGCAGGGACGCCACCACCTGGATCTTTGATTTTTGTCCTGGTCTGGCTGCTTTCCCATGAGCTGCTTCTGCTCTGTGATTGCTCTAGGCATTCCTCCCACTATAGGCTACTATATGGCTATTGGCACTAAATGTTTCAGTATAGCTCCAACTACATGCAGGATTGTAGAAAGGAAACAGCTGAGTAATATTACTGTAAGATGTTTTTTAGGCACTGGTTGTGCCTGTGATCTGGACAGTTTTTTTTTCCTTGGTGCCCATAGGGGGTGTTACCCATGTATCAGGATGGGCCCGGGTGTGGGCCTCCTAGCTGCCCCCTTAATCCCTGTTAAAAGATACCGATGAAAAGTGTTCAGAGCCTGGTAACCCCCGAGGTGTTGGGGTCCCACTGGGGTTAGAGGGAAAAATGTCTCTAATCCGGTCTCGGTTTTCCTCTATTGTGCCTTTCACCAGACCTATAATGGCCTTAAGGACCTTTTATTTAATTCTGCTTTCTTCTTCAGTGGTAAACAGAATGCAAAGTAACTGCCGACCGTCATTCCAGGTGGGGCGGTGAGTCTGCAGACCTGACTCCAGGAGTCCTGTGAGTACCTGAGGCTTTTCAGAGAATGGAGGGTGCTGAGCCTCCCAATTGTACAAGTCACTTGAGGAAAAGGGGATGTGGACAAAGAAGGGGTGACCCCAGCTACTGCCCTCCTTTGGGGGCGTGTGTTGGAGGGGAAGAACCCCGGGTGGGTGTGGGGCCCCTCTGCGAGTGTGCAGTGGGGACAAGGGCTGGCCACTGGTGCTGTCCAGGGTGGGGTGTTGCCTAGAAGGCCTAGGGTAAGGTGGGGGCAAGTCTTGGACCTCCATGGCCTTTTGTATACATCTGATTAACCATGGTAGGGGGGCGTCAGACCAGATTCAGCCACTGATCAATGTATGGGTATTGGTCAGTGTGCCCAGGGAGACCCGTTACAATGTTCCATACTGCTTGGGTGAATTTTGGATTGTAGGTTCCCGTGTCTGGCTACCCCACTCCAAACGACAGCCACTCTAGTTCACACAATGTGCGGAGTTTTCCCGGTGTTAATTTTTCCGCATATTGTCCTGAAAACCCCATTTTGAAATTGGCCATCATGCATTGGAGAGGGGTGCAGGGCTGGGAGCTAGATGACTCCATTTGGTTTCTCTCGGGGTCCTGGAACCGGTTTTAACTATGCTTTTTTGGTTTGTTTTAAGCCAATTTAGATGGAAAAGTTGTGCTATAGAGCGAGCCGATTTTAAGCAAGAGAAATTATACTGAACATAAAATTTTATAGCTTTTAGCTTTTGAATTTTTCCAAGAGGTTTCCTCTTAAATTTAAGACTGGCTCCACTGAGGATTTGAACGAGCAACTTGCAGTTGCAGGCCCTATACCTTAACTACTGTGCTAACAGGCCACTTGTAGTAAAGGCAGGCAGAAAGCTTTCTTGAGTCATATTTTGGATGCAAATAAATACTGCACCCTGAGGTGGTGTGGCCTGTCTAGAAGCCGGGCAGGGCTGACAGTCGGCAGAGAAAGGAAAAAACACTTTTGGTGTCAGTTTAAAAGTGAGCTCGCAGCTGCTCTGAGCTCTCAGCTGCTAGGCTGGCTGCGAGTTTCCCACGCCTGTGGTTTTTGTTCACCTTGACACAGGGACCCTAAAAAGCATTAAATTTCTCTCTCCCTATTTCTCTCACTCTCTCTCCTCTCTTCTCTGTCTCTCTTTCTTGTCCTTTCTCCTCTTCCCCTCCCTTACTTTCTTGTCCTCTGTCCTCTCTTCTCTCTTTTGACAGAAGAGACAATTACTCCTTTTTCACCCTAAACAGGTGAAGAGGGCTGGTAGGTTCTTATTTAAGGTTTGATTTCCTAAGACAGTGAAAAATTACACCCAAGTCACCAAGGGCAGAATTTTCTCTTAGACATGAAATAGAGGAAGAATGAGGAAAGGAAGAGCGAGGCCTCAATGATAGAAAAGGAATAGGAAAAGGAAACAGACCAGAGTTATTTCCAGAGGCATGAACTCAGTAAAGGTCCCCTGCACCCAGTGGTCCGTCAGCCACCGTAGAATGTTTTCTGCCTAAAGGGAAGCAAGTCTGAACCATTGTATAACAGCCAACAAAAGTCTAACAAAACTGGTGAATCTGCAATACAGACAAAACCACATACGGGATTGACAGACAAAGGATGGGTGCCCCTCAGATGGGAGACCAGTCTGATGCCTGCCCGGCCACATCCCCAGAGGGATGTTTCAGGATGTCTGGGCTAAGGTGTACCTGTATAAACCCTGGGCCTGGTCACCTCAGAATTTTTGGTTCTGAGGTGAATCACCATTATGCCTTATGACGCTCCCGTGGAACCGTGGGTGAAGGCCCTCACAAGCCCTATAGCCTTCTAGCCATGGGACTACATATATACACACTCATTCTCTCACTCACACAGAAGTTACGGAAAACAACTGAACGCTGATACCCACTATACCAGCTACCAGATGCCAGAGCCTGGGGCGACGTCTCGGGGAGGCTTGCTAGGGTCAGAGTTGCAGTGACTGCGTCTGGTCCCCTGACTCGGGCTACAGATACCCATGGACCAGTCCCCAGATTCCAGAACACTTACTTCCAGAGGTTCCCAGGACACTCAAGAATTTGGGGTGAGCGTTGGCAGCACAGTTAGTCGTTCCTGGGGCCTTGGAACATCTCAGGGCATCTCCCCTAGAGATCCCCAGGGCTGGGGCAACCGCCCATCCGAGGCTTTGAGATGGCTTTTGTCTGGTGATGGACGGAGAAAGGAAAATCTCACTGGGGCCTCCCAAATGTTACACCTGAGTGAGAAGAAAATCAACACTAAGACAAAAGTATGCCAAATTGCAGGGTCTTTATTGCTGGTGGCCACGGAGGACTCATGTCTCTACAACCCGTGGCCCCGAGCTCAGGGGAAGCAAGACATTTAAGCTGCAAAACCACATCCTTGTTTGGGGGGCTCAGGGGTGTGCAAGGAAAGCTGTCTGTACAGAAGCAAAAGTTAGCAGTTTGTTGCAAGGGGAGGGGGGAAGCAGTGAGAATTTTTACCCTTAACACTTCTGAGAATTGCAGTACAGTAATAGTTCTGGGAAGGACACTTCTGCCCAGGGCCCAGGTGGCTTCTCTGTAAGATGGCAGTGCTTAGCCTTCTGTTTTAGCCCCTATCTCACAAACACATTTGCAAAGTTCGTTTGCCATGTAAAGTCAGAGAGTCATAGGTTTTAGGGATTAGGATGCAAACGTCTTGGGTCTGCAAACCACAGAAGGGATTTCCAAGCCTCATTTTAAAAGCATTAATTATGGTTAACCAGTAAATTCTTTTTACTCTCTGGTGTTCTTGAAGAATTCTCTGACTTCTGTTTCCTGTCTACCAGGTTGTGTTTACTTCAGGAAGAAGAGCTCCCCATGCTCCTGCAGCTCTGCCATGGTGCCAAGGGTCCCAGGGTATGAAATAAAAAGGGCATTTCACTCGGGCACGTGCTTTCTGTGTGAGGGCAGTTCCTGCCCTCCAGAGTACGCACACATGCAGGATCTGCCCAATGCCGAAGCAAAACCTGCTCTTTGCTTGTCCTCCTGGGCCATCTCTGTCTCTGCAAAACCAAGGATGTCTTCCCCAAGAGAGACAGCCCCAGTCTGGAAGCCCTCGCAGACTCAGAGCTCCCTGTGCTCATGCCAGCTTTGTCCTTCCTCCCCATCCAAGCTGCTGCCCTCAAGTGAGTAGTCTGGAAGAGACAAAGGAGGCGAGCATTCTCCTCCTGCTCCCCGGGTGGAAGACTTTTCATGTCCCTCCCACTTTTCTTCTTTCTAATCAGTTTAACTATTTCCTCACACTTTGTCCTATTTCTAGGTCTGTTCTGAGTCCTGCCTTTCTTTTTGATCATTTGTCAAAGAAAAGGCTGAAATTTGTGCAATATAATGTAGAGTTAACCTTATCCATAGATCGTACTTGGGGAAGGAGTTCCTTTTCTATTTCCAGTATCAGGGGATTATATGGTACCCCCTTTAACTCTCTCTAAAAGCAATAAGCATTTATATAATTGGGGTTTCTGAGAGTGAATTAACTTGCCTCGCATGGCAAAGCTTTTATACCCAATATGATATTTAATAACCAATATGATATTTACAGTATTTACTTAAAATACAACTGTCTGAACATCAGACCCTTTGAATGCTACTTTATTCTTCAGAGACATTGGAAATCATTGTCTGAGAAAGTACTTTCTTTTAATTATTCTACTGATGGCATAAGTTTTCCACTTACTCACAGAATAGCCAGTGGACTCCAAGGAGCAGCGAGAAGATGAGAAGAGGCACTCTGGTCTGTCCATTCCGCCACCCCGCTCAGGAACTGCTAGATGGCCTGTGGTGGAGCAAAGCACTTCCAGAGCTGGCCAGGCTCCCTGCTTGGCTCTGCTACGCCACGTTGACCTGTGAACTATGGAATCCTGTGGTCAGCATTTTCACAAACCATCGTCGCTATGTTCTCAACAGGTAATATACAAAAATCAAGTCCAAAAATCTGTTGTTAGGGCAATGGCATATTTAAAACACATCCCAAAGCACTGCTGTCTAAGCAGTGAAATGGTTCTGTATGTTTTAGCTCAAAACGGAGAAGAATTATCTTCTAACTGATGATTAATAATGTGAGTTCACACTACTAGTACTTAACTGCAGTTTTGAAATCTTTAAGGCTCTGAAAACTCAAAGCTGTTTATAAATTTGGCACCAGAACTCATCAGCCAGCAAAGCCCGATATGAACGAATGGAAATACTCTTACAAGTTTTATTTATTCCACTATATATTTCACTGCAGAACTATTGATGTGTTTGATTACATGGTGCTCTCTTAGATGTTGCTAGGTGTGACATACATGGTTATAGGCATTCTGTTGCTTTTTTTAAGTCCAACATTTTCTAATTTCCAAATATATCTGGCTATAGGAGATTTGGACAAGGCATTGTGGGCTTATAGTTGGTGTTAATACTTTATATTACAAGATTGAGTTATCTTCAAGGTTAGATTTAACTGCTATCTACATGCTACCAAAAGAAATACTCAATATAATGAATAAATCCATAAAATGTAAAAATAGCTGTGAGCAATTTTTAGACAAGAACACTGCCCAACTACATTTTTTTCAAACAGTTGGGTAGAAACCACTTTAATATGCAGTACAGAAAATTCTCCTTGTTCAGTCGGATGAAATTCATTGAATATGTATTGTGTGCATCCTTTTTGCAATGCCCTGTGATAGCTACTGTTGGAAAAACAAAACCATTGACTATACAGACATCTGAAAAATATTATCACCTTCTGTGAAATTTTTACGTAAGTCTTAAAACTGTAACTTCCACATGTTCCTGAATCGGTTCAGTCTTCCTCGTCTTAGTTCTCAGTCGTCATTAATAGTGATGTCATATTATTCCTGCATTAAACATGTTAATAAAGCTCATTAAAGTTTTGGATACTTGTACCAAATGTTATTCCTGTTACTGTTAAACTTATCTTTTGTTCTGTTTCCTGAAGCTTTTGTTATAGTTATGTAAAAGCTTGAAAAATTTCTTGAGAAGTTTAAATTAGGGATTTATTTTGAACTTGGAAACTTATAGCCCCAATGTTTATCTGAATTTCTTTGATGTAACATCAGACTGAATTTGTAAAGAGAAGCAACAGACTTCTCTTTACAAATATTGCTTCTGGTAGGATCAGAAGTTCAATGAAAATAGAGTTTCCTCAGGGATTTAGAAGATTTTTTTCCAGGCTGGGTTGGAAAACTATATGAAATCAAAAGGAGGGAAAACATGTTGTTTGAACCTTTCAGAAACTCTAAGAAGAATGCATTTGGCTCAAAAACTAAGTCAAAGTTCAGGAAAACAAAATCCAAGAATTAATTTTTTAAAAACGTGAATATGTATATTTATCAGGAATGCCTGTTTCATCTAACTTTTAATTAAAACTAAGTTTTCATGATTTCAAAAGCTGTATTATGCCTAAGTAAAGTTAGAAGGCAAAGATTAAGAAGATTGAGAGAGTGGTGTGTTCCACACCCAGATGATGGCACCACCCACCCCAGGCAGATATATACACATTATGGTTTGACCAAAATAAATTCATACTGTAAATGATATTTTAAACCTAACAATGGATATCATCTTATGTCAAAAATTTATCTTATGCAATACATTTCCTTCATCTTCTGAAGAGTTTCCTCCACTCTCTTCTGTCCAAATCAGGATCCAAATCCATGACCAATCACTGGATTTGGTGGTGGTGGCCCTTACGTTTCTCTCCACTTGGCACAGTTCACCTCCTGCCCCCATTTCTTTATTCATGTCGCAAAATTATTAAAAAACAAAATTCACAAGCTGATAGTCCTGAGGAAAATATTCAACCTTCTGGACGTGTCTGGTCGTGTCCCTGTAATCGATCTCAGTTTAATCCTCTGGGCCCCGTACTTTCTACAAATTGGTAAGATTTGCAAGCTAAATAGAATCACACAAAGTATTTTGCCAGCATCATTCTCTGTGATGCTGTGTAATTCATGTTGCATCTCATCAGGAGGTATGACTGATGGTTAGTGATGGGAAATCAACAGCTGAATTCAAGTCCTGACACTTTACCCCTCCACGTACAGTTAGAATTTTCACCTCACTTCTCGGAGCTAGTCTATGTGGGATTACTTTAGCCCTATGCAAATACCCAGTTTCCCAGGAATGCAATGGAACAGTTTTATTTTATTTTTATATTTTATAGTAGCTTTTTTTCTATTATTATTATGATACTTTAAGTTCTGGGGTACATGTGCAGAGTGTACAGGTTTATTACACAGGTATACACGTGCCATGGAGGTTGGCTGCATCCATCACCCCATCATCTACATTAGGTATTTCTCCTAATGCTACCCCTCCCCAGTCCCCCCACCCCCTGCTATCCCTCCCCTAGCCCCTCACCCCCTGACAGGCCTCGGCGTGTGATGTCCCCTTCCCTGGAACAGTTTTAATACCACTTAGTAACCCTTGTGGTGACATAATAATTTTTCTAATTCATTCATATCATTAATTTTGACTGTTATTAGCTGCTTTCTCATATAACAAAGAGCTTTCTTCACCACTCAGAGTTATTTGTTCACCTCTCCTATAGTTTCTACTGGAAGAGCCAAATAAAGAAACTAATTTTAAACAAGATAGCATGAGTTTTAATTATTTCTTCCTGGCATTTCCTTTTCTGAGTTCAAAGAACCTATGTTTTCATTGATTAAATGCATTCCCACTGCTACAATAGAATACCTGAGTTCTTTTGGTGTGTTCTCATTGGTCTTTGAATTCTTTCTTGTTTTATAGCACCTGTATCTGCTGGTATTGCTTGTATCATCATTTCTCCAGGGAGCCAGTGATTTACTCATAAGTAACTGAAGGAGATTAAAATTAGACTCCCATGAGCTTTGATTAGATGGCTAAATCAATAGAAAGTTAAAAGCCATTTCTGTCGATTTTTGTTGATTAAGGAGACCTCAGGTGTAAAAGGCCAAACCATGATTAAAAATGGAAATTATGTCATTCAGAGTAATCTCTTCATATTTGTCCATGGAAAACTCAGGACAAAAATTAAATAATTTTATGTTTTTTCCCCCAGAATTATAAAAATTTGCTTAAGTCAATTTTAGACATGCAGTCAGATCTGATTTAAGCTTAGTTCCTGACTTCCTCTCACTGGAAAACTGAATGTAGACTCCCACAGCTAAATTTCAAGCCCATCTGTTACTAACAGCATTCCTATAATATTTGAATTGATTTAATCAGAGTCAACTGGGTAATGGTACAGCCAGCTGGACGTGGGACACACAAGAGGAAGGGTACTCTCTGTGAGAAGGAGTTGTCCATCAGGAAGGAATTAGAACACTTCCTCCTGTCCTACAAGCTTTGCAATCCTGGCAGCAGATTTCATGTAATATTTGGGACACACGTACACTAAATAAAACATACATATATATAAATTTTAATTCCAGATAAAATATATATCTGGAATTAAAATTTAACTGGGCATCTTATATTTGATTTGGCAGCCTTGTTCTCAAAGCCAGTTCTTCCATGCAGGGAGGGAGAAAAGTCTTCTATCCCTGCCCCTTATTTTACCTGCCACAAGTTTCCTGCCTTTAGGGATCTTTGCCTGTCTGCTGCTTCAGGCTCCATCACACACTTGCTATGGCTCCGGCTGAGTTTCAGTTTGAATCAAGGTCTTACGTTGTCCTTCATGCCCAATCTTTTCCTCCTACCTTGAACTGATCATCGAGTTTTAGATCTTACGTCCCTAAATACCTGACCCAAACACATCCAACCTTGCTCATTTCTGCTTTCATACGTCCTACTTTTTCATGATCTTGAGTACTGCCGAGGCTGTTCATGTTAGCCTTGCATACTCTGATGCACACTTTTAATGCCCATGCCCACAATCTGATAACTTAGATGACCTTTACACGTGACAAGAATCCTGATCTGGCATCAAGACAGCTTTACTTTATGTTATGGTTTTTTTCAGAAATGGTGATGGATTTTATTGTATGTACCTCTTATGCTTTGCGGCAAGGGGTTCTCATTGTTGACAATATTGCAAGGGTATTTTTTTAAGGAAATAATGGGTTAAGTTGTCTTTATTCAAAGCTAAATGGACCATGTGGGTTTTAACATTTGGCCTATTGACATTATAGCTGAACTATCTTGATCCTGGACACACACTAGGATTACTCAGGGAGATTTTGATTCTTGCCATTTTTCTTAAAGATCATTGCCTTGGCCTCACCTCTGGAGGATCTGATTCAGTTGGTCTGGGGTTTGATCCAGGTAATCATATATTTTAAAGTTTCCCTTGTCATTTTAATGACACAAATAATAATCGAAAACATAAAACCAAACACAAATGGGATCAGAGTGTCACTGTAACAACTAAATACCTGCTTTGGCCCAGTGGAAGAAGCTAACTCTGAGGGGATGGAGAGTTCTGTAAGATTTTTGGATAAGAGCAGTCTTAGAGAAAAGAAGGGGATTCTAGCCAGATGAAAGGGCAAGCAAAGGGCCACTAGTGAAGGCATATACAACACGTTTTAGAAATAAAAGGTTAAATTGGTCTTGCAAGAGAGATCCCTAAGAAGACAGACACATGCATTTGGGCATGAGATTCTTACATCACCCTACAAAACTTCTCAAAAACAGTTTATCAAATCCACACTGAAGAATTAAATTCCATGAAATGCACCTAGAATACACATTTTGCATTAGGCTCAAAAGAATAATAAAATGACCAGGCTTTCTGTCATTCAAAATAAAAAAAGAATGCCAGAGAAGACCTGTATTAGGATATTGACAAGCATCCAGGAATCAGTAGCAATAGATACGGATGAATCACTGAAGAATGAGGAGAGAACACTAGCCTGCATATAAAAATGATTCCAACTGGATTTTGGATGGTAAATTTAGTTCCAGCTTCCTGGC